TTTTTGAAGTTAGGTAACTTGTATCCATGTCATATAACTTTTGACTTTCCACTAACTTAAGTTAGTTAAGGTACGCAACCCCCCAAAGGGGATTCCACCGCAGCAGTAAGGGTATCCCCACCCCCTCCACCCCTCGCACAGAAAACAAACCGTAGGTTAGGTTAGGTTAGAGTTTTAAGTGACTGGCGCGCGGAGCGACGTTCCATAGGGAAGGCACCCGCTGGTCACGAGATTGAAGCGCGGAGGTCCGACTTTCGGCAGATCCTCAGGATCGAATGGCGGGCAAGGTTGATGAACCCGTCGGCCGGCCTGAGGACCATCGAGGCTGTCCGTGCCATCCTCAGGAAGTGGATGAATCGGAGAAGGCCACTGACGTACCGCATGACGCAGATACTGTCCGGGCACAGCTGCTTCGGGCGGTATCTGAGTCATGTGGCGAGGAAGGAGCCGACGACCGGCTGCCACGAATGCGGAGGTGTTGAGGACACGGCGCAACATACGCTGGAAGAGTGTCCGGCGTTCGCGGATGAGCGCCGTGTCCTCACACGAATAGTGGGGTACGAGCTCTCGCTGCCGAATTTAGTTCGGGAGGATAGTGAGTAGCGAGAGATCGAGGCTGGCGGTGAGCTCGGCGGAAAGGGAGCGGGAGTGGACTCGTCCCGCTTCCCTCCGCCGCAGAAGAGCCAGGCCTAGAGGTGGGGGCGTACCCAACTCCGCCCCCCTCTATCCACCACTGGGGCCGGGGTGAATGCCTTGAGGGAGGCAGTTCCCCAATCCAAAGGCCCCGGAGGTGTGCGCGTGTACCCACACGCCTCCACAATGGTGTAGGCTGAAGTAGGTGGCCCTAACCGTAACGAGATGGGGCCTGCCCTACAACATCTACAGGGTGGGCCGTCGCCGTCGGAGCTGGGGTGGAAATGCACATGCGAATCCCCTGGCTCCGGCATAGGCGCTCGTAGGTACACCATATGGATTTTGGTGAGTACAAATCTCGCACACCGCCCACGCCCTCCCTCCGGCGGGGTGACGGTCTTTTGAAGATTTTCCTCACGTAAAAAAAAAAGTATTTTAAGTGACCCCCGGAGGTGCGCGTGTACCCACACGCCTCCACAATGGAGTAGGGCGAAATAGGTCGCCCTAACCGTAACGAGATGGGGCCTGCCCTACAACATTTACAGGGCGGGCCGTCGTCGTCGGAGCTGGGGTGGAAATGCACATGCGAATCCCCTGGCTCCGGCATAGACGCTCGTAGGTACGCCGTGTGGTTTTTGGTGAGTGGAAATCTCACACACCGCCTTTTGAAGATTTTCCACACGTTAAAAAAAACAGTAAAGCGTGGTACAAAAAATATATATTAAAGTATTTCCATCTTAGTTGTCTTCTACCCGTAATACTAAGCTATGCTACTATGAGGGTATATGGGACTAATAACTGTATGACGATTGTCCAGGATAAAAAAAATGTGCACACTTTTGTAGTTTTTTTCTGTCCATTTGTTGACTTTTCACGGCTCAACAGATCTTAATAAAATTTCATATAAAGATTAATTGTATCACGAAGACGAATATTTTTTATATTAAAAAGCAGAAGTTGCGGGCCACAGCTCGTTTTATTAAGCAAAAACAACAATAATATAAGTAAGTAACGTGAAATGGTATCACATGATAAAGTGATGTCCGTAGTGCTGATCATGTAGGTATGTAGGCGACGGTTGTCACTTACCTACTATCAGGGGCGCCGTCAACTTGTTTGAAGTTTCAATTACATGAAACAACATTTTTTCTATTACCAATTTATTGAAAATTTAAAACAGTTCTACAATATTTGGCTGTAGTGTGTTTACGCTGTTATGCTCCATAGTTTCGACACTGATGAAGGGAAATGGTGACATGTAAAATACTGATCAACTATATTTTAAAATAGATTAAAATATTTTTCTTTACTGAAGTAGGTATATATTTACATGAATGGCAATACTCATGACTAATAAAAATAATCATTAGCTCTTAAGGGGCCTTTCGTGAGAAATATTCCCTGCCTCATTAACTATGTCTTAGGTGTTAAAGTAATCGCTATGGGCGTGCATTTACGTTCCCACTAAATAAGAGAAATGAGGCCTCTAATGATCTTCTCTTCAACTGTTAATCTTTAAACAATTGCAGCCAATTTATACCTACATACATGAATTTATAGGTTGAACTAAAAGTAAGATTCAGAGATAGAATATTTTATGAATATATGATTTTTATATTACTTAAGTATATATATATAATCATACCATGTTGGGTATAATATGAATGGGTTCAATTTGTAGGTGTATTTAATTATGTATTTATTTATTTCTAAGTTTTGCCATCGGGTTTGTTTGCAAGCACCAAATAATTGGGAATATTTGAGAAAATCATGTCTCCGATGTTAACTAAATGCTATTGTTTCCTGTCCTTAGAGTGCGCCATTTTCATTTTGTTATAAAGTTACATACGTCTATAATAATCAGCGGACAATCAGAACGCTCCTAATGATACCTAATTTGTTTTTTTTAATTCTTATAGGCAGTTTGGAAGTTATGAACAAATAGATTAAAAGATATACGTACCGGTAAAAAAGGACTAAGATCCTTTTTTTGTTTCGCAGTAGTCGGGTAAAAATATCCTTCAAATAAATTTTAATAGTCGGTGAGAGTTAACCCATAAAAACAAGTAGATAATACAATCTACTTGTTTTAATGGCGATTTTAGTTGACGGCAATCTCTTTACAATTTTCGAGATCATCAAATTATACTTGTCTAATCTTATTTTTTTATAGGACAGGAGACCAACGAACATGCGGTTCACCTGTTGGCAAGTGATTACCGCCGCCCATGAGCACCCGCAATATCAGGGGAATTGCAAGTGCGTTGTAAGCATATTAAAAAGGAATAAGCTATTAAAACCTTCAAGAAAAACTTGAAGGTTTCAATATCGTATCGGTTGGGAAATACCATTGCTAGAAGGGCATTTCCACAGTGTGGTCGTGCGTGGCAAAGTGTTTCTAGAAAACCGCACTGTGGTGAACCGCCATTCATCCAGACGATCAGGATGGTATTAAATCTAATCGTATGCGTGCCTTTTTTTAATTTATATCATAATTCTGCTTAATTTTGCCTTTTACATGACTGACTTAATTTAATGTCTTTTTTCTGTATAAAAAATAAGAACACTGTGAAAAGAATTTTTTAATTGCTAAAATACTTTAATAAAATAGATCTGATAAGGTCATAAGGGGGGACAAGGCCGCGGTATGAATAGTACATCAAACGAATGCTCACGAGAATTTGACCTGCCACTTGGACTCGAGTGGACGTTACCTACCGTACCACACTCGCGCTATCACTCCCTTTTATAACAAATTTGTACTTGACAAATATGAAAGCTGATTATTTAATATAGCATTTCAAGAATTTAATTTAAATTTTACAGAGCTCTCGACCTACAACTTATTTTATTCCCAAAGAATGCACTGTTTTTTACTCATTATAATTATATAATTAATAAAAAAAAATTATACAATTTATTAGTATGGATAGTCTAATATATACAAAAGAAACATTAAAGCAACAGAGAAAATAATAATTTTCAATGATTTAACTTAATTAAACCAACCCGATTTGTTATCGATGTTAAAAAAACATTTATGCTATATGTATACATGACATACTCGTATATAGGTATTCCAGCTAATTATTCTACGAAATATTTTTTATAATATCTATATACTTATCCTGGTTAAAGAAATTGTGGATATGATTTGTCTGTAGCAGTACTTTGTTCTTCAGAGGAATAGCCTCAAAAATTTAAATTGTCATGATATTGTTCAACCTCCGAAAGGAATGTAACTAACTAAAAGGTTAGACTACAATAGATTTCTGAATCATGAATTTTCAGTTTCATTACAACTTCAACTTTAGAATGTTAATAGGATAAAAGCGCTCAACACATGCTTATTCCTTCAAAGCAATTTCGTTATTCAGGTCTCTTTTAGACCAACAGTAATACAAATACGAACAGTAGTTAATATAACAGAACAGTTATATCAACACGTTTATGTATTATACGTACCAGTTTTTATCTATTAATATCATAGTTACATGTGGTTTTTGGCAGATGAAAAGTAATTTGTGTTAAACTTCACGTTAAGTAAGTTCATATTTTTACAACTGCAAAATGAGGATAGTCGGAACAAAGATAAGGAAATTCAATTTTAAGAAGTGCCTCCAAAGCATTTCCTGCCCAAACAATCTCATTAGATTTCATTTTCATTTTTGAGTGGATTTTGTGACTGATATTTTATAAGTAACCGTATTTGTATGAACAGTATTATTTACATGTGAGATAATAAGGATTCCAAACCGCCAGTTTCAGTTACTACTTACGCATGCACTTCTGAATTAAATTAAAATAATAATTGAATTGTAAAACGTTCATTCAATATTCGTATATATTATCTAGTATACATACACGCATATATCTATAGTACCTTTATAATAAGCATTTAAAAGCCTTTACACTAGACAATTATTTATTTGACGACCTCGGTGGTCTAGCGACCACTGGTTTTTTAGTGGGTACAAGTCCCACACACCACCTCGCCATCCCTCCGGCGGGGTGACGGTCTTTTGAAGATTTTTCCACACGTTAAAAAAAAAAAAAAAGTTAGGTTAGGTTTGTTATTGTTTTTGTTTAGTTGTTTTTGTTTTATTGTATGCGCTGAGGTATTTGTGGTGTGTCACCGGGAACGGCGCGGAGGTACCTCCAGTCTCGTGTGCCCCGCTCCAGGGGAAACCCTGGAGCAGTTTGTGGAGGCGCAAGCCTCCATAGTACCCGCCCGACTTAGGTCGGGCGTGACGTCCGTGCGGCCGGGTTGAGGAAGTTGGCTGGTGGTAGCAGCCCCTTCCTTTTCCCGTCCCCGCCGGGGGGACGAGGAGTGCTTGTCTCTGCCGCGGGACTTAGCGTTTTGGTCCATGTCGGACTCTATCACGCTGGCGGATGCCGACACGGTGCGGTCGGCGAGGTCGCGGCCCGTCTCGCGGGCCAGGTCGCGGGCGTCTCGGCCTTCCTCAGCGTCGTCGACGCGCTCTACGCGCTCGACGCGCTCGATGCTGGTGGAGGACGAGATGTCCGGATGTTTAGTGTCGAGCGAAGACGGGCTCGCAAAAACGGCCGTGTCGAAGCGGCCGCACGCGGATGGACCGGGCCCTTCCGGGGCGGCGGGCGGGAGTGCCAAGCCGTCGAAGATCCCCTGCCCGTCGGCCGGAAACGGGGTCACCTTATTGGTGCCCCTGGGCCGTAATACGGAGAGTCCGGCAACGTCGCCGAAATCCCGGCGGCAAGAGAAACGGGGGGACGACGAGATGTTCGTCCGACCCTCGGAGGTCCCTGTGGGGAAGGGGAAAGTCCCCCCAAAAGATGACATGCAGCCTGTGGCCGTCTTCAGGGCGGAGGCCCAGAAAAAGCTGGTGGCTGCCCTGGAGACGGTGCGCAGGTGCGGAAACCTTAAGGGGACCGACCAAAAGCTGCTGAGGGACAACATCGGCGCTGTGATGCGATTGGCGGAGGGCTTGGATGTTAATGCCCCCGCCAACAACGACTTCACCGCGATGGCTGTGGAGCGCCGGGATATGGAGAAGCGAATTGGGGAGCTCCATAAAGAAAATAAGGAGCTCCGTCGCCAGATCCAGGCGCTCCAAACACAAATGCAGCAGCTCGCGGCGAGGACACCACAGACTCCCTCAGCTGCTTCCCAGGCACCACAGGGGCCTGCGAGGGTGAGGGCACCTGGCCCGGCCCCGGCGTCAGTGATAGACACCGAGGAACTGCGGGCGGAACTTCTGCGCTCGACCGGGTTTATGGTCGACGCCCGTTTCCAGGAGCTGAAGGAAATGATCCAAAAGGTTCATTCCCTTCAGGAGGCGTCGATCCGCCCGGTACACCGCCCGCCGCTGCAGAGCGATGGGCAGTATGAGGTTCTGTCCCGCATCCCTGGCACAGGGGATGTCGGCTCAGGGACGCCCCCATTTGCGCGGGGCGCGAGGCGCTGAATTCCCGCCGCTTCCAGTGGCTCAGCCGACCAGCCGGCCGACCTCCGGTAGTCAACAGCCGGGGCCGTCGGGCGCGGGGCGCGCAAACGATGGCTGGAGCACGGTGGTGAGACGGGGCGGTAAAAATCGCAACGTCCCTGAGAGGCAGACCCAGAGTACTCAAGGTACTCAGAGGAGCTCTGGGGCCCCCTCTCAGGGGAAGAAGGGCAAACCGGCCCCGCCCTCACCATCAAAATTGCGCGCACCGCGCTCGGCGGCTGTAGTTGTCTCCCTTTGTCCGGAGGCGGAAGCGGCGGGAATGACCTATTCAAAGGTCCTCAAGGAGGCGAAGGACAAGATTGACCTCGCCTCCTTGGGCATAAACAGTCTGCGGTTTAAGACCGCGGCCACTGGGGCCCGGATCCTAGAGATCCCAGGGTCCCAGCCGGGAGACCAGGCCGACGCGCTCGCGTCGAAGTTCCGGGACGTCTTCCCGGAAGGTACAGTCCGAATCGTCAGGCCCACAAAGACGGCCGAAATGAGGGTCATGGGCTTGGATGACGGTACCGACCGGGAGGTGTGGCGGCTGCCGTGGCACAGCACGGCGAGTGCACGGCGGACGCCGTCAATGTCGGGGAGATTCGGCGCGGCGCGTCGGGCCTGGGCACCTGCTGGGTGCGGGCCCCATTGGCCGCGGTGAAGAAGGTCACGACGGCAGGGCGGATCCGGATCGGCTGGGTCTCAGCCGCTGTGGAACTGCTGCGGCAGAAGCCACTCCGGTGCTTCCGGTGCCTCGAACGCGGGCACGTGCTGGCCAGGTGCTCGCACGAGGAGGACCGGAGTGGCTTGTGCTACCGGTGTGGGGTTCCCGGCCACAAAGCGGCCGGATGTTCGGCGGCCCCACACTGCGTGGTTTGCGCAGCGGCAGGTCGCCCAGCTGACCACCGGGTGGGGGCCAAAAAGTGCCCCCAGTCCCGCAACAAAAAGAAGGGATCCGCACTGTCGTCGGCCCGCGGCAATGGCCGCCGGGGAGAGGCTGAGGTGATGGACCCCGGTTAATAATGGCAGTCCATCGCCTCCTGCAGGGGAATCTGAACCACTGCGCGCGCGCCCAGGATCTGCTTCTGCAGAGCGCGGTGCAGTGGGGAGTTGACCTTGCAGTGGTCGCCGAACCATATCGCGTCCCACGAAGCGACCAATGGTTCGGCGACCCCTCTGGCCTGGTGGCCATTGTCGGCGCGGGCAACCCCGCGACCCCGCTCGTCAGCCGCCTATTCGGCGGAGCGGGGTACATAGGAGTGAGTTGGGGGGAAACCGTCGTTGTCGGGACATACTTCTCTCCGAACAGGACTCTCGCCGAGTTCGAGCAGTTCATGGACGGGCTGGGGGCCGCTCTGGAGCTATACTCGGCCCGTCCAATGATGGTGATGGGGGACTTCAATGCCAAATCCACGGCATGGGGCTCCCCCATCACCGACTCTCGAGGCAGGGTCCTGGAAGACTGGGCGGCCGCGGCCGGCCTGGTGGTGTTGAACCGAGGGTCGGCCGCCACGTGCGTGAGACAGCAGGGGGAGTCGCATGTCGACGTATCCCTCTGCAGTCCAGCGATCGCACAGAGGGTGCGGAGCTGGCAGGTGTTGGATGAGGTGGAGACGCTATCCGATCATCGTTACATTCGGATAGACGTTCTCCCCTCACCCGTAGCTCCGCACCCCGGTCGCCAGGAGAGGAATGTCCCACAACTCCCCAGATGGGTGTTGAAACGTCTGAATAAAGACGTGCTGATGGAGGCTTCCATCGTCCAGGCCTGGGTTCCAATACCGGAGGGGCCTGTGGAGGTCGACGTAGAGGTGGGCTGGTTCGGTGAGGCTCTGTCGCATATTTGCGACGCGGCGATGCCCCGAGCCGGCCCTCGACCTCCTAGGCGTCAGGTGTACTGGTGGTCGGAGGAGATAGCGGCGTTGAGGGAGGAGTGTTCCGCCGCCCGCCGCCGGTACACCAGGCACCGCCGACTCAGGCGGGGCCGCGACGCCGACGAGGAAGCACAGCTGTACGAGCAGTACAAAGAGAGGAAGAAAGCTCTGCAGCTGTCCATCAGCAAGGCCAAGGAGACAGCCAGGGAAGAACTCCTGGAGACCCTGGACAGGGATCCATGGGGGCGCCCTTATAGGTTCGTCAGGGGCAAATTACGCCCATGGGCGCCCCCCGTGGCAGAGGGTCTCCAGCCGCAGCAGCTGGAGGGGGTGTTGGAGGAGCTGTTCCCGAGACAGCCTCCCTTCACACCTCCTCCGATGATGCCGCGTGGCAGTGATGGAGAGGCCAGCGGCGTCAGCGCTGCTGCGGTTCCTGCCATTACCGAGGAGGAGTTCGTCGCGGCCGTGGATAAACTCCAGGGCAAGAATGTCGCCCCGGGTCCGGATGGTATCCACGGCCGCGTCCTGGCCTTGGCCCTAAACACCCTAGGGGACCGACTCCGGCGCTTGTTTAACGCGTGTCTGGAGTCGGGACGGTTTCCCAATCAGTGGAAAGCGGGTAGAGTGGTCCTGCTCCGCAAAGCGGAGCACCCCGCAGGTTCGGTGGTTCCCTCGGCGTTCCGCCCCATAGTACTGTTGGACGAGATCGGCAAGCTCTTCGAGCGAATCTTGGCGGGCCGACTCGTCCAACACCTGTCTCAGGTAGGTCCCGATCTCAGCCCGAAGCAGTTCGGGTTCCGAGAGGGGCGCTCGACGATCGAGGCGATCTCGCGTGTGCGCTCCCTCTCGGAAGAGGCGACGTCCCAGGGTGGGGTGTTGTTGGCGGTCTCTCTAGACATAAAGAACGCCTTCAACACCCTGCCCTTTGCGACTATTAGGGAGGCGCTGAAGTACCATCGCGCGCCTCCCTACATTCGGGACGTGATCGGGGCCTATCTCGAAGACAGGTCTGTGCTATGCACGGGGCGGAACGGCGTTGTAGTGCCGAGGGAAATGCAACGCGGTGTTCCACAGGGGTCGGTTCTGGGCCCGATCCTGTGGAACATCGGGTATGATTGGAACCTGCGGGGCACCCTTTTAACGGGCACTGACCTCGTGTGTTACGCGGATGACACCTTGGTCACTGCCCGGGGGCGGGACCTACGGGAGGCTACCCGCTTTGCCACGGCATGCGTGGCGCTGGTCGTCGGTCGTATAAGAAGGCTTGGGCTCCAGGTGGCGCTGGAGAAGACCGAGGTCCTGTGTTTTCATGGGCCTCGGCGTGCGCCACCTCCGGATGCCCAGCTGGTCGTCAGTGGCCAGAGGGTGGGGTCAAGCCCTGTATTCGATACTTGGGGCTTGACCTGGACAGTCGTTGGAGCTTCCGCGCTCACTTCCGGAACCTGGTCCCTCGCCTTATGGCAGCCGCCGGCGCTCTTAGCTGGCTGCTGCCAAATGTGAGGGGCCCGGGAGAAGGTTCCCGCCGCCTATACCTCGGCGTGGTGCGGTCCATGGCCCTGTACGGGGCCCCCATCTGGGTGGGGGCCCTAGGTAGGGAATATGTGGCCTGCCTCAACAGGCCACACAGGGTCATGGCCATACGGGCCATAAGAGGCTACCGCACCATATCCGGGGAAGCGGCGGGTCTGCTGGCGGGGTCTCCTCCGTGGGACTTGGTAGCGGCGCTCGGCGCGTCAGTGTATCACTGGCGCGCGGAGCGACGTTCCATGGGGGAGGCACCCGCTGGCCACGAGATTGGAGCGCGGAGGTCCGACTTTCGGCGGATCCTCAGGATCAGGTGGAGAGAAAGGCTGGCCAGTCCATCGGCCGGCCTGAGGACCGTCGAGGCTGTCCGTCCCATCCTCAAAAGGTGGATGAGTAGGCGGTGGCCACTGACGTACCGCATGACACAGATATTGTCCGGGCACGGTTGCTTCGGGCGGTATCTGTGTCATGTGGCGAGGAAGGAGCCGACGACCGGCTGCCACGAGTGCGGAGGTGTTGAGGACACGGCGCAACACACGCTGGAAATATGTCCAGCGTTTGAGAGTGAGCGCCGTGTCCTCACACGAATCGTGGGGGACGATCTCTCGCTGCCGAATTTAGTTCGGAGGATGATCAGTAGCGAGAGATCGTGGCTGGCGGTGAGCTCCTTCTGCGAGGAAGTTATCTCGCGGAAGGAGGCGGCGGAAAGGGAGCGGGAGTCAGCTCGTCCCGCTTCCCTCCGCCGCAGAAGAGCCAGGCCTAGAGGTGGGAGCGTATCCAACTCCGCCCCCCTCTATCCCCCACTGGGGCCGGGGTGACTGCCTTGAGGGAGGCAGTCCCCCAATCCAAAGGCCCCGGAGGTGTGCGCGTGTACCCACACGCCTCCACAATGGAGTAGGGCGAAATAGGTCGCCCTAACCACAAAACGAGATGGGGCCTGCCCTACAACATCTACAGGGCGGGCCGTCGCCGTCGGAGCTGGGGTAGAATGCACTCGCGATCCCCTGGCTCCGGCATAGGCGCTCGTAGGTACACCGTGTGGTTTTTTAGTGGGTACAAGTCCCACACACCACCTCGCCATCCCTCCGGCGGGGTGACGGTCTTTTGAAGATTTTTCCACACGTTAAAAAAAAAAAAAAAAAGGTTAGGTTAGGTTAGGTTCGGCCGAATAAGGAGGCTTGGGCTCCAGGTGGCGCTGGAGAAGACCGAGGTCCTATGTTTTCATGGGCCTCGGCGCGCGCCACCTCCGGATGCCCAGCTGGTCGTCAGTGGCCAGAGGGTGGGGGTCAAGCCCTGTATTAGGTATTTGGGGCTTGACCTGGACAGTCGTTGGAGCTTCCGCGCTCATTTCCGGAACCTGGTCCCCCGCCTTATGGCAGCCGCCGGCGCACTTAGCTGGCTGCTGCCAAACGTGAGGGGCCCGGGAGAAGGTTCCCGCCGCTTATACCTCGGTGTGGTGCGGTCCATGGCCCTGTACGGGGCCCCCATCTGGGTGGGGGCCCTAGGTAGGAAAATGTGGCCTGTCTTAACAGGCCACACAGGGCCATGGCCATCAGGGCCATTAGAGGCTACCGCACCATATCCGGGGAAGCGGCGGGTCTGCTGGCGGGGTCTCCTCCGTGGGACTTGGTAGCGGAGCTCCACGCGTCAGTGTATCACTGGCGCGCGGAGCGACGTTCCATGGGGGAGGCACCCGCTGGCCACGGGATTGAAGCGCGGAGGTCCGACTTTCGGCGGATCCTCAGGATCGAATGGCGGGCTAGATTGATGAGCCCGTCGGCCGGCCTGAGGACCGTCGAGGCTGTCCGTCCCATCCTCAAAAGGTGGATGAATAGGAGATGGCCACTGACGTACCGCATGACGCAGATACTGTCCGGGCACGGATGCTTCGGGCGGTATCTGTGTCATGTGGCGAGGAAGGAGCCGACGACCGGCTGCCACGAGTGCGGAGGTGTTGAGGACACGGCGCAACACACGCTGGAAGAAAGCCCAGCGTTCGTGAGTGAGCGCCGTGTCCTCACACGAATAGTGGGGTACGATCTCTCGGTGCCGAATTTAGTTCGGAGGATGGTCAGTAGCGAGAGATCGTGGCTGGCGGTGAGCTCCTTCTGCGAAGAAGTTATCTCGCGGAAGGAGGCGGCGGAAAGGGAGCGGGAGTCAGCTCGTC